AATCTTAAACCAGTCAATCAAGAATTGCCTGTTCAGCCCCAGTTAGGTAGTCTGCCTGATGGGTGCCTACAGCCCCCTAAAGGAAAGTACCCTTGCAATAATTACTCTGTGTTTTTGCCTAGTAAAACTTCCTTGTTCCCGCTCCATCCTGGCTACGAAAGTTTGTCATTTTGTACAGCTCCTCAGAGCTCCTTTCTATCTGCTCGATTGGATACTGCCTGTCTGAAGTCAATTTTCACTCAAATAAACTCATAAAATTGTTAATGCATCTAAATTTATCTTTTACCATTAAGAATGATGGAACAATGATGTCAATGATACATACAAAGCTTACTATAGGCAGCAAAGAATAAATGTTTAACAGAGAACTTAGAAACAGAGTTAGGCAGGAAAAACAATTTAATGTAAAACAATGTAAATAATTATTTTCACAGATCTTAATGAAGGCATTTATTTTGGCAGAGGAGAAAGCTAAGTATTTATCTGTAAGTTTCAGGGCTTAATTCTTAATGTACAAGTAAAATACAGTACATCATGAAATATATATAGCCAGAAAATGTTTTTTTAATTATTTTGCCATGAAATGAGATATAAATTGATATGAAAATATGAATTTTAAATGCTTTGCATATCTATTACTATTATTATCAGATAATTATCATATTCTACTTCTAGTAACTGGTGACTTACCATAGGGGTCTTAAATTTATATGAAAAGTAAAACTTCAAGTTTTGAAGATACTCCCATTCTCATCACACTTAGTGAGGTGTCTCTCGTTTGCCAAATGCAGACAGTTGCCTAGCGTGATATCCCTGTATCAGCCTAAGAACACTGCACTCCAGAAGTACAAGGCAGCTTAAATTCACAGTGAATATAATCATTTTCTTAGTTTATATAGAAAAGGAGTGTTAGGAAACATCAAATCCTCCTGTGCTTTTAAAAGACCCTAAAAAGAGATTCAAAACATGAGCAAAACCCAGCTTTTGTGGCTATTGTGTGACTTCATGTCCTCTAAATTCTTACAAATTCTAAAGCTGTTCAGACAAGATGTTGGTTATGTGAAGTAGGATGATGTCTCACTTGACTCACCAGTCATCATTGATAAAGTGAGATGGAAGAGTAGGCACAGTTTAATTCAGCTTCTCTATGTAGCCTAATGGGCCCAGAATCTGGCATCTCTATTTCACACGGCAAATATATGAGATCATTAGGGGCCAGGAAGGCTTGGGCTTTCACTCCACTTCACCAGTTATTTAAGAATGTGATCTTGGGCAAGTCACTTAACCTCTACATCTGTCAAAAAGCATATCAGTAAAATGTGACTCAATGAAATAATGAATTTGAAAACACTTAATAAAATTAAAAGTATCAAGGAAATAATTCTTCTATCTCAAAAGGTTATGATCATCATTAAAATGTAGCACACAGAAAAAGAGAACATACTAACAAGACTTAACTGAGACCCACAGAAAGATTTGCAGAAGTGGTATCACGTTATGGAGGACCATAGGTCTGATAAAGACAAAAACTTGGCACCAACCTCTACCAGAGGAAATTCAGATTTCACAGGAGACACAGAGCTCCCAGAAGAATTCTGAGTGGTATGGAGATTATCCAACAATATGTCCTAACTTCAAAAGGAGAGAATTGTATCTTGACAAGCCAAGGGGTTCAATAAAGTGACCAGCAATGCAGTAATAGAGGCATCAACTCTAGACCAATTAAAATTTGTATAAAGCTGTAAAAGAGGGTCAGAAAGAAGTTCTTGCAGGAGGCAGAATCCTTGAAAGTCAACATTGATGAATGTGTGCAACGGAATGACCAACCTCTTTGGTAGCCAGCTTCGCGGCCTGGGGCTTCCCTTTTAAAAAGACTTGGACTGCTCTTGAGTCTAAGAGGCTGAGTCACAGACAATGCTAAGCCACTAACATAGCTTCTTATTGAATAGTACAATTTTATTTTTGAAGGGGAAGTAGGGGGTGTGACACATGTGGTAGCTAGCAGTATACTACTGACTTCATCACCACTACAGCCAGAAAAGCCAGCTGATGTGTCAGATATGTTAAAAAGTGAAAGTATGCCACAGCATATGGTAGCTTTTCCCCCAAGCATTTCAAGAAAGAAATTATAAGGCCAATTTACATAATGATGCCTCTTATGCAACAGTAGGGATAAGCCAGGCCCTAGGAACTCAATTTTCAACAGGGTCCCATAAGTGTAGCCATATATTGACCCATTCTCTATGGAAATACCTGGAGAAATATAAATATCAAGACTATGAGAACATCAAAGGTCTCATTGGAAAAGTCCCCACACAGAAAAATGTGTGGGTCTGAATTCTTCCATTCTGGAAGGGTAAAGGCTTGAGCTGATGATGCTGGGATGAGACACTGAAGTCTTTAGAGAAGTGCGAAGGCATAATAAAGATGACACACAGATTGCTAAAGAGCCTTTCCCTTAGAACTAATGTTAACTTTCTTTTGAAAGTACAGAAAGACATTTTTCATTTTTTAGTGATAAAAGATAGACCACGACAATTTGTCTCTGTCTCTAATCTTTTCTAAGAGAAAAGACCATTTATTTCTAATCTGGCTTTTCCTCAATTTTTTTTTACCTGAGGAACCATAATGCTTATTTAAAAATTTTTTAAAGATGTTTTATATTCTTCAGAATATTGCCTAATGCATAAATAGTACTGAACCATTTTCCCATGTTCATTGTAAGTACAGTTAAGTGCTCCTTAGAATGCTTAGCCTTTCCTGCCTACCCACTCTTCTCCCAATCTAAATCTACGGTTCAGCCGTTTTGTCAAAATGGCTAAAATCATGTTTAAAGTCATGTTCTTTCTTCAAAATTCATTAAATCCACCTCTTAAGGCAGCATCCACCTTTTACCTAGGATTACACTTGTCTCTGTCATGTACTCCCTATATAGATCAGGTTCTTTGAGAAAGAATACAAATGGTTAGAGGGTGGACTTTGTAGTCAGAACATTCTGGTCTCAAATCCTTGTTCTGCTTCTCACTGGCAGTAAGGGCTGAATGACCTAGAATAAGTGACTTAGCTTCTCAAGTCTAATCTGAAAAATGGGAACCACCACTTCACAGGTTTGTGGTAAGGCTTCAGCTAGACTGTGTACCTGCACATTGTTCTTTTTCTCTTTCTATATACCTGAGTGCATTACAGGTGCTAGATAAATGTCTGTTTAAAGACCAGAAATGAATAAGGTAATAAAAATGGAGTTCCTGGCAATCTCTTTGAGAAAGGATTTCCTTAATTCTCCCCAGCTTAATTTAGAAGCATATGCCTTTACCATCATTAATGCATTATACTGAGGACAAATTAATACATATCCTAAATATCCTACCCAGTCTACTGACTAAAAAATATTGATCTGATTTTATTTCATTACTATTACATATATTGTTACACTGACAGTGTCCCAGGTGCTTTAGAGGATAATTTAAAATATGTTAAAGAGGCAAGAATATAAAAACTAGAAACACATGGATTGGTTTACATATAGCACATACAGTCTATTATAAAACTAGCATCAGTACTGACCCTTAGATACAAACTGTTTTCTGAGTGTTTGTCACAACTTGTTTGTAGTACTTCATTTTTTCATAAAGGTGCTCCATGAATTATAATGGATAACTCACTTAGTAACTTGTGCTGAGTTATGGACTCTGTATTATAAGAGCCACTTTGGAATAAATGAGCTCAGGTACCCCTGAACTGTGGAAAGCTCTCACTCCACAAGGCACAAGCACACACAAACACATATACCCCCATGAGCTACCATTCATGGTTTCCTGGGCTTATTATCATGCCTTTCTTACCCACCAGCACACTAACTAGGCCAGCATTGGTACACCTCAAGCTGGCCAGATCATATTTCTCCTTAAGAATATACAAGTGGTTTTCAAGAATTCCAGTTAGTAAATTTCCTTATAGACAAACAGACTTTGGGATCCCTGATATGCTCATTTTCTGCCTTACATTGAAAGAAATGTAAGAAATATGTTCAATAAAGAGAGAGAGAAATGAAACAGATCTGAGGGTGGAAGAAAGATCTAATAGCTCAGATGGTCCCTGAGACTGAGAGGGAGAAAAAGCATTCTTGATTCTGGCAACACACTTCAACTCCCATTACATCCCCTTGATGCCCAGCAAAAATAATAAAGGAGCAAAAAATAAATATGTCCTAAAAAGCTCCCAAACTAGTATCAGTACTCTTAGAAGCAAACCCTTTTTTGAATATTTTTAAAACATATTTTTATTTTTTTCAAAAAAATTACAACAGGCACTAAGAGATTTAAATGGGTACAAGAAACATGTTAAAATTAAAACAGCATAAAATACCAGAAGCTCAATGCACATTTTATGTATTCTAATCCTAGCATTTCTCTAGCTAATTGTATAGGAAGGAACCTGTCATGTTGTATGCATTAGCTCAGTCATTGTGTAGATAAAAAGGTAAAAACCATCCTGAAACAGGAAACCAATATTCTTCCTGTTTAATCAACAAATCTAGAAATTTATTCTTCTCAACTGTTTACTCTTGCTTTTGTCCATCACCACATGTTGCTCTACATATTCAGCATTGTTTTATGACAAAGAGAAAATTTTCATGAGCCACTGTTGTATCCCCACCCCCTTAAAGAAAGAGGGAGGAAAAACTGTTTCATACAAAAGGTGTATGAATTAGAACTGCCACCTAAGTGTGGGCTAATGTAACCAAGAGGGATTTCACCTACATCCATTCAGTCAGTTTATGGGGGTTTAAAGAAATTCCAAAGAGTCATCAGAAGAGGAAAAACAAAGGTAATGCTTTTTGCCACACAGGTAGAATCTTTGAAAATATGTGTAATATGTAAAACATTTTGACACCCCCATAATATTTTTCCAGAATTAACAGTATAAATTACTTCTCTTGTTTGAGAGCTTCCTATCAGCCTCTCTAATCACTACTTACAGTAACCTCAACTCCTGCCACAATGTACAAGGTGCAGCTCTTGTCCTGCATTGCACTAACTCTCGCGCTTGTCGCAAACAGTGCACCTACTTCAAGCTCTACAAAGGAAACTGAGCAACAACTGGAGCAGTTACTGCTAGATTTACGGTTGCTTTTGAATGGAGTTAATGTAAGTATGTTTTTCTTTCTTACTAAATTATTACATTTAATTTTTCTAACTGAAGTTCATTTTTTAATAATAATGTCATGCTTTCTCAGAATTATGAGAACCCCAAACTCTCCAGGATGCTCACATTTACATTTTATGTGCCCAAGAAGGTAAGTACAACTTTCTATGTTCAGTTTATGTTAATGATATATAAAGTAGTATGAAAATTTGCACACTGATTGTGGAGTAATAGCATGTCAACTGAGTCAAAGAATTTGTAACTTCAGTATCTTTGCAAAAAACCCAAGTTTTGATAAGGGGCTTTTATAAAATGTCTGTATATTTTTTTAATATGTACTTGATTGTGTTTTGGAGGAGAGGAAATGGGAAGAAAATATTAATAATATTCTCACTTTACTGCCAGGACAATTCTAAAAGATTATGTTGCTTCATTGTTTTATTTAAAAATGTAAAACACCAGATGCACTTGATTACATCAGTTTATTATGCAAATTAACACTGATTTCAGAAGATCCTCTTAAAACAATTCTTTATTGTTTCAGGAAAGATTCCTAAGGGCCTCTGACAGGCATTATAGCAGTAATCAATAGCACAGGCCTTAGGGACAGATTGTCTGAGCTGAAATGCCAGCTCTGCCATGTCCTAGCTTTTATGACCTTGGGCAAGTTACCTACTCCCTTTGTGACTCAGTTAACTATTTTTGTGTGTGATAATTGTACATACTTCATAGAGTTTTGTGAGGATTAATGAATAGATGTTAATTACTCAGAACAGTGTCTGGCATATAGTAAACACTATATAAGCTTTAACTAATACTAGTAGTAGTAGTAAAGACAAAATTATTGCTGGGGAGTATAAAGTAAAATTTTGGACTTACACATCTTTACACCAATAGACTTAGAGACTTGATACTTACGATATTTTGTAAGATTAATTCCTTTGGTCATTTTGGGATTCAGGTAGTTAAATAAGCATAGATCATCTAAGCTCCTTGAGCTTTGCAAGTAGTACCGTTTTCCTAGTGGTTGTGCCTGTCACTAGAGCGTGGGTAAAACTGTGCCAGAAAGAGTTTGTCCAAGGGTGAATCCAAGCTCAGAAAAAAAAAGGGGATTTAAAGATACAATTGCACTGATCCATCTTTTATTAATTCAAGGAAATTATCCTTCAAACTACCCTTTTGAAAGATGAAAAGAAAATAACTTAGAGATGCTCCTCCAGCTTAATCAGCGCCACATAACTCTTACCTATGGCAACAGAAAGGTACGAGGCTGTTGTCTGAGGGAAAGAGCTCCAAGTTGCCCATGCCAAAAACTTAAGCCCTGAACTTGTAAGTTTGTTGAAAGGGCAGTAGATGGAACTGTCATAAAATATATGTGGTATAGTTCAACCTCTCCCTCTAAAGATTGCTAGAAAGATAATTAAGAGGGTGGTGTTATATTTCTTTGAAACATTATAGTTTCTAAATGACAACTCAAAATCTATTTAAAACCAAAAGTAATGTGGTTTCATTCACTTGCTCAATTTACTACCATTCCATGTCTGCAAAAGATTTAAGAAAGCTATAAAAACATTTAATTCAAAAGATGCTATGCTAATGCTATAAAGAAAAATAATTAAAATTTAAATCCTGGCTCCACCTAGCCATGTGGCCTTGGGGAAGATACTTAAATTCTGTGATTTAGTTTCACTATTTGTAAAATGGAGATAACAACACTGCATTGCCTATCTCAAAAGGTGGCTGTGAGATTTAAACGGGCTTATTTAGGAGAAAACACTTTGAAATTATAATGTACCACCGAAGTATGAAGTATTAACATTATATATGTAAAGGTGTGCGGACGTCGAGATCAGGAGATCCATCTAAAATCCCCTCAAATATTGAACCTTTATTTGTTTGGTACAAATTTTTAAAAAATGCATCTTAATGTACTTGTTATAGAAAAGTAAAAATTAAGACACAGTTATATGTAACTTGCTATATTGAGTCACTTTGTATAGTTACAATTGCCTAATCTATAAAATGTTGGGACTGTGACAGACATAATCCTAGAGAGCTCCTTCAGTCTGTAACATTCTACGATTCTAAACTCTTGGATTAGTAAATGTTAAAGTCATAAACTCTGATCCTATACATCCACATTGTGACCACTCTGGTTCTAATAATTTCTACCCAGACTAGAAAAGAATTAGCCTGTATCTGTGATTTGAATTTGGGTGCAGAAATGTTGACTTTTTGCAAAGCCAAAGTAAGCTGAAACTAATGACTCATTATTTGTTAACCAACAGTTAATACTAATCACATGTAGTTGAACTCTAGTTTTTCTGGTCTTATAATGTAAACTATACTGGTCCATCTTTACAGTAATGCAGAGAACAGGGTATGCAGAATGGTAAAACTATATATTGCCACTCAATAAATAAATTTGAGATTAATTTCTAATTCTGACCCTTAGTCAAAGCAAACTAACCTGATAATTATTTTTATAATTATTCAAGGCCACAGAATTGAAACATCTTCAGTGTCTAGTAGAAGAACTCAAACCTGTGGAGGGAGTGCTACATTTAGCTCAAAGCAAAAACTTTCACTTGAGAGATATCAAAGAATTAATGAGCAATATCAACGTAACTGTTCTGGAACTAAAGGTAAGACATTATTTTTTCCCCTGGAAATAAAATAAGCGGAAGGACACCTGAAAGTGGTATAATATTTTTTATATTTTTGAAGTATTCATGCATCTTAAGTCTGATGTACACATAAAGCATTTTTATGTTAGATGATACACTGTGGAGCTGGGAAGTATAAACTACAGGGTTTCCACCTACCATCTACTCAACCCTTGCCCTCCTTCACCTTTTGCATTAATACAAAACTGGGAGTGGGAGAAGACACTGAATTAAATGTCACAGAAAGGAGACAGGTTTCATTATATATATTTTTAATTCCTTCAGATCATTTTCCAGAATAGCCAATACTGACTACTTGAAGGGCTTTTAAAATGGAGTTTCCTTGTCATTTGGTGGAAGGACTAAGAGATTTATGTAAAAAAATGACAACCATTAAAATGGCCAATGGACTAGATAATTAACTTCTTATTTAGAGGTGATACTCACTTTCAGGACCTTAAGTATTTTTAAATGCACAGGATGCATGAAATATACAGGGACTCAGGTGATATGAAAGTTCATGGCTCTTTTTTCATCTCATCTGCCAAAGTACAAAATTCATGAATTAATAGGTATCCTAAACAAACAGCATAATTTAAATTACAGTAGAACTAAGTTTCTAAAAGTATGTAACTCTAGTTGTTTTCAGATAAGAGTCACTTATTTCTTTCTATTTAATTAAAAAAAATACACTCAGATCACACGAACCCAAGAATGGACTAACAGTTACCAAAGGGAAAGGGAGTGGGGAGGGTGGGTGGGAAGGGAGAGATTAGGGAGAAAATGAGGCATTACGATTAGCACACATAATGTGGGAGGGCGGGGACATGGGAAAGGCAGTATATACAGAGAAGACAAGTAGTGATTCTATAGCATATTACTATGCTGATGGACAGTGACTGTAATGGGGCATGTGGGGGGGACTTGATAATGGGGAGTCTAGTAACCATAATGTTCAAGTAACTGTATATTAATGATATCAAAATAAAAAAATAAAAAAAAATACACTGAGATCAATGTCATCTAGACGTAGTTAGACTCAGTTTCTCATCTGTGTCAAGAGATTTGTTCTAAAATTTTGGAACCAACATCAGAAAACTCACTCTAAAACTTTTGACCAACGTTGGAAAACTCACTAGGGTATGCAACATTGCAAGTTTATTTTCATTTGGTTTATGTTTCCAGGATAGGAATTACTTCAAATTTGAAAAACACATCTTATCTCACTAAATATCAAAATATTTTCTCCTTAGCTTGTCAGCTAGAGGCAGAATTGAAAGAGCGCCTATCAGCAAAGGAGGCTGATTTCTAGAAAGTCTGTCCATAGGACAAAATTTCTGAAGTTTAGACTTTTATAAGTTAGGAATTTCACCTGTATTTTATTGAGGTGGGGTGGGGGTGGGTATGAGTATTTATGAAAATACTCTTCATATAAATTTCCCCCAAACAAAAGCTTGTCCTAACTTACTCTGGGCTAGTTCTATCTTGTTTTGGGGAAAAAATGAGATTAACTCACGTAGAGTAATAGGAGACTTAAGGTCTAAAAAAGAAGAGAGTATATGTGCATATCACTGCATACATGTATCCTATATAAGATATACACATATCTAGAGGAAAAGAACTTTAACAACTTTATTTTGCATGTAGCATTTAATGAAGTATTTGTTTAGAACTGTTTTTAAATGTTTAGATTTAAAACATTTACTTGTACACAATTCAGGAAAAAAATCTTGTGTTCACTGAGATTGATAAATGAGGAAAATATCAGGTTTTATGTTACTATCACTTGGGTATCATAACATAATTTTGGCACATAATTTCAATTATTTCAAGAAAATGTGAATGATTAATATGTTTAACATACTTGAAAATAAAGAACAAAAGCCTGTAATTCAATTGAGAATATATATGAGGTAAACTAACCTGAACTAAAAAAAAATTTTTCATTTTTCTTTTATAGGGCTCTGAAACAAGTTTCACATGTGAATATGATGATGAGACAGAAAACATTGTAGAATTTCTTAACAAATGGATTACTTTTTGTCAAAGCATCTTCTCAACACTGACTTGATAATTAAGGGTCTACCACTGAAATGTATCAAGCTTTCTATTTATTTAAAATATTTAAAACGTATATTTATTTTTTGGTATAAGGTTTTCTACCTTTTGAAACTATTATTCTTAGTCTTCAGATGATAAATATGGATCTTTTAAGATTCTTTTTGTAAGCCCTACGGGCTCTAAAAAATGCACTTAAATTATTTAACCCAAAGTATTTATTTTTATATTGAATTGTTAAATATAATGCCTATGTAGAGCAGTTAATAAAATTATTTAATAAAGTTGATGAATTAAAGCAACACCAGATATTTGTTATCCTGGGAACAGTACAGAGTAAGCACTAAAATATATCTGAACTACTCATGTGCACTCAAATAAATGGTTAAGATGCTCATGAAAGTCATTCTTTCCCTGGAAAGGTATGTGGGCTATGGCAAATGGGCTTCTCAAAGCTCTTGTTTTCTCCTTTCATGAGCTGATCAGATCCTTATTCCTGAGAAAAACTCATCAAATTACACTCTTTTCTTCCTCTAGGATATGCCTTAAATTTAAACAAGATGCCCAACACAAACATCCTTGAAATTCTTCACAGAGTTGGTGTATCTTTCTATCCATTTTCCAATATCTTACACCTTGTTTTCTCTCAAGAGGCTCACCTGGTATGACCTAGATCAAAGGCCTCCCTGCCCTCTGGCTTTCCACTGGGTCCTGCCACTGGGGAGCCATGTGAGGATGTCTGAGGGACAGAAGGGATTCCCCTGACTCTCCCTGTGGAGTAGCCTCCAGATGGATGACTATGCCTCTCAACCAAAGAACCTAGCTTCTTTCAAGGTGACTCTCTTGAGACTTTTTCCTTCTGCATTCTGCCAGTGTTTCCTTCCACTCTTCCCTTCAAGCCTAGGGATATAACACTTCAACTGTTCCAGAGTATTGAATAATCCCTTGCAGTTTCTCTGTACCCTGACCACAGCTTTGTAAATCATCTCTTTATTAGATCCTTCTTGAATTATACTGAGCATACCATTTATTTCCTGACTCACACACAGTGATTGTACCACAAACAGCCCTAAGAAGGACCCTCAAAACAGTATTCTTGGGCAGAGCTGTTCATATATTCAAGGAACACAAGTATAATGGGACATGGGAAATCTATGAGATGTAGCAGCATCTTGATTACTCAAATTATTATCAGTGGTAGCACAGGAAGAAGTGCAGATGGAGGGTAAGGTGTTGTGAGATCAAATGGCCACTGACATCTAATTGCTACAGCAAAAACATGTACAAAAATTGATTATTGCCTAGATTTTTCAATAGGCCCAGACAGAGAACAAAGGGGAAAAAGCTAAAGTTATGAATATACAATTAAAAACATGCATGGGCAACCAGAAGCCCTTGTTGGCAGTTTTAATGGAGTCCTTCATCTCTTGTAGCCACAGAATATATATGGCAGAGGACAAACCCGAGTCTGACCTAAGGGCTGCAAAGATGTAGTGCTAATTAAAAGCATAAGCCTTCCAGATCTTTTATACTAGGATGGGGAAGATGTGGGATGTGGATATTTTCCAGACATAGAGGCTAGGAACTTTAAACATCTGCTGTCTGTCCTATTGATGGAAGCAATTTCTTTCCTTTAACAACATCCCTTCTGAAGAAAAAAACCACTCTTCTACTTAAAAACCTTCCACTTACTCATATATTGAGAGCAATTGTCCTCAGAATTCATGTCTACCACTTTTCATTGCCTCCAGGCCTAAAATGGGAGTTAAGATCTCAACATTGCTGGGCCGGTGCAATATAAGGTGTTAAGGACAATGAAGTGAAAAATTAAGTCATGTTTGAGCTGATTTAATTGAGATTAATGCAACTCCCTAGGATTCAGAATTATTATAATGAGAACTTGCAAATGGTATTAATAGTTGGTTGAGTAAATGCTTGGACTCCCCCAGTGGCCTCTTTTAACAATGTTGAAATGCCAGAGCTTCCCCACAGAAGAAAGAGTCCAAAGGATCAGAGAAATTGAAATGTTGGATTGGATTTATTATGTGCAATCTTCTCATCTTGGCCAGAAAGACATTAAGAAATGCATTGGTAAGTGAGAGACAAGCATGCATCACTGTTCTGTGGTGGTTCTCTTTATTAGGCCAGAAATGACAGGTTTCAATAGAACTGGTTTCCCTGATCTCACTGGGAATCCTGTAGTGACAAAGGCCAGGTGGCTGCACCTGGTCCTCTGAGACAAGGTAGAAGTAATCACCACAGTAAACCACAGGACACAGTGCTAATCAACCTATTTTAATTCACAGAGATCTGTAACAGTGGCTAATTGCAAGATCCTTAAAAATTAGTAGATTCTAAATTTGCTAGGCAGACATGAATGAAAGTCACTATAATTGGGACTCATGACTTGTTTCCAGTTCTCAGACTTGAGCCACTTTCATAGGCTCAGTATCTATGTCTCTCAAGGGGAAGAGGCTGGATCCTTTAGGGAAGGACCCTATAATGTGGTCACAGATGTACACTGTAAAATTTTCCCCACGCCATTTTGTAAAAGATATTTATCAGGGAGACCATTCACTGAGGAATGGGAAATATCTGCATATTCTGGAGGTTATTAGGTAATGGCTTAGAATGGACCCTGTAATTCTGAAACTCCGCCACGAGCCACCAGAGTGGAAGCTTATGAAGGTCAAGTGAGAGATACATAGCTTATTAGCCTGAGTCCATATTCCAAAGGGATCACAGATCCTCCAGTGGCATACCACTGTAGTGGCCAAGGGCACTGTTCAGGATTCCCTTTAAGAGAACATATTCTGCAGGGAGCGTAGCTGACAGTCCTTAAGTTGTTGCCATTTGAAGTTACACGATACAAGCAAAAGAATTCCTGGTAGTTCCAGGACCCACCAGTTCTGCTGCTTTGTTATGTCTGGAGAGTAACTGATCATCTTAGTATTTCACAGAATATCATGCTGTTCCATTACACTGGTGATGTTATACTAACTGGATTTGGTGAGAACAAGCAGGAACAGTGCCTGAATAAGGCATATTTGGGGTAGAAGAAGGGAGGTAAGTTCTGCAAAAGTGAAGGGATGTGTTACAAAAATGAAGTTTCTAACAGTCTGGTAGTTTCATGCATGTTAGGAGATTCCTTTAAAGTGGAGGACAAGATGCTGTACCTTGAACAGCATACTACAAAGTACACAGCTTGGACAGCCTCTGGAATTTGGAAGTACACTACATATGCTACTCTGTCCACATTTGGGGGAATAACCCATAAGGGTGTCAGTTTTCAGTGAGGCCCACAGCAACAGAAAGCAGGCCCCGGCCTGAGTACAAACTCCTCAGCCGCATGGGCTTTATGACCTAGTGGACTCAGGGGGATCCAAAAGTGTTTATGATCGTGATGCTATTAAAAGTCTCTACAACATCCCTAGAAGAGAATTACCACACAATGCTATTGTTTTTAGCAAACACCATGCCCCACTCTGCAGACAGTTCTCCATTTACAAGCAGCTCCTGGCTACTGAAAGATAGCCAAATGCCTGACCACAGGACCCCACATTATTATGTAACCTGACCTGTCCATCACAAGCTAGTTATTAACTGATGTACTGAAATGTAATACTGGGTGACCAGAGAACCATTTCATCATAAAATGGAAATAAGTAGATCTGAATAGGTCCAGGAGGGATAATTAAACTGCATAAGCAGACCACTTAAGATTCTCATGGTATCTAGTTTAACTCCTCTCCCTCAGCTCATTCCTTTGGCTAGTTAGGGAGCTTCCTATTTATTAAAAATTAAAAAGAGAGGAATAAATAAGAGCCTGGTTTAAGAATGGATCTGTACTAGATGCTGGTATTAGCTAGAATGGATGCTCCCAGAAGTGTAACTCTATTGAAAGTTGTGCATTTGTTTGTCCACTTCATGCTAAAGGAGAAATAGAGGTATAGATCTAGAATAGACTGAAAGTAATGAGTCTGCCAGATGATAAGGGATTTAAAAAAGAAAATGGAAATTTGATAACAAAAAGGTACAGGGAGGAGTATGTAAATGGACCTCTTCAATGGGCAGTGAATGTGAAGATTTTAATGTCCCTTTGTAAGGAAGACTCTAATTATTCAGGTGGAAAGATGAACCCTCCTATGGATGCTAGCCAGCCTCCTTCCCCAGTCAATCCAGTGCTTACTCAAAAGGCCCATGAACAAAGCAGCTATGGCTGCAAGGGTGGAGACGACATGAGTCCTACAACAAGGTCTTTCACTCACAAATCCTGTCTGGCTACTGCCACTGTTGAGTGCCCACCCTCCCAAAAGCATAAGCCAATGCTGAGCTTTAATAAAGCACTATTCCCCTGAGGAACCAGCTGGCTATCTGTTAGTATTTGATTATATTGGATCTCTCCCACTATGGAGTGAACAGTGTTTTTTCCTCGAAAGGACAGATTCTATTCTAAATACAGATTTGCTTTGTCTGCCTTAAGTGCTCTGCAGCACCACCATTAGTAGATTTATAGAATGCCTTATCCATCACGTTGCCTCTAGCCAAAGGATACAACATATGGCAAAATAAGTGTGGCAATGGGACTGTGCCCATGGATTTCACTGATTTCACTATGTGCTCCATAATTCAGAAGCAGCTGGCTTGATAAAACAGTGCAATGGCCTATTGAAGTTTCCATTATGATACTTACTTGGAAACAATATTGTGAGAATAAGATACAGTACCACAAGACACATTATTTGTGTTAAAACAGAAGCCAGTATACAGCACGGTCTCCCCCACAGTCAGAGTACACAGATCTGTGCATCAAGAAGTAGAATGAAAGTGGTCCATCTCATTATTATACTGAATGACTCATCTGAAAACTTTTTTTTTTTACCTCCCAGAGATCAAATCTTAGCTTGGTCAATTTTAAGGCCTTGGTGGTCAATGAGACATGTTTGTACCAGGAAACCTGCCTTCTATCAGAAAACTGATTAAATGGAAGCTGAAACTACTTTTGGCCATTTAGGGGTTTTTCATAAAGCTGAACTAACAGGTACATAAAGGATTACTGTACTGGCCAGAGTGATTAATTTTGATGACAAAGGGAAATTGATTCCTACTTCAGAGCAGAGGCAGCATCTATACAACAGGTAGCACTATATTTGGAACACAAGAAATTCAGTGGGGTATATCTTAGATTTCTCTTTCCAGTAGTGCTGGTAAATGGAAAGCTATACCAATTCCCCAAATGCAAAAGCATCAGACTCAGATTCCACAGAATTGAGATTTGGAGTTGACTACCAGATAAAGCATTCCACCCAGCCAACATAATGGCAGAGGGAAAAAGGGAACATGCAGGGAGTCTTGGAAGAAGGCAGCTATGATTACCAACTTTCATGACTAGCTACTGGGCAGAGACTCAAGTAGTTATATTTATTTTCCTTATTTTTCTCTTGTTTGTCCCACACTATGTGAAATGGGATTTAGTCTCCCTCTTTGTAAAACATACTGGTGGTGCTTAACATTTTACTTTTCAGGGAAAAAACTGCTGAAATGACATTACCCCAAAATACCAAAACTGATAGAATTTCATTTATCTCCTTTGCTTGGGACACCAACTTTTTTCCCAAATGAAGGAGGAGAGTATATGTTGAGGAATAAAAGGGTAAACTGTACTAGTTACCTTCCATTTGCCCCTTGACAGCTCAACATCCTTTCCCACCCTGCTAAGCTGACTTCTGTGGACCATGTTTATGTGTTTTCTTGCCTTCTCGTTTCTAATTGAGTTTGGCCAAGGGGGATCTGTGATGAGACTTGGATGAAGGACCACCTCAGGATGACTGCATCACTAGACCAAAGGTCATATTCCTCTCAAAGTGCTCCTTTCTTTATGACCCTGTCCTTCAAGTTCCTAGCAATCTACTACTCTCTCCTCCCTTCAGGCCTAAGTGTGGGAGCAGTTTCCTGTGTGAAGAGAGCAACCAGTGCAGTCAGGTCTTGCAGGTTACATTGCTCAAGAAAAGGAATGTGCACAACAGACATCCTGGCTTTTTCTCTGAAAA